AATGCACATAGTATCATGTATAGTTAGGCCCTTGGGCTGCAATTCTACAGGTACTTTAGAAGTAAGCTCCACTGAACATAATGAGACTTACTTCTGAGTTAGCAGACACAGAATTGAGTGTTAGATTATGTCACAGAAAAATAAATAACTCTTGGAAACATCCTAAGGCAAAGAACCTTAGATGCATACCATTCAAATAATCTTTATTCCAAATGCATGCCTCGCACCTCAAATTTAAAGTCAGACACACAAGTTATGATACACAATCTCTGCCTGAAGGAAAAATGCAGAGAAGGCATCCGTTTTGTCACATTCCCAGCACACTGATCTGATTCCTATGTGTGCTAAAGGAGAATTGTAATGAAACAAAAGATGAAGATGAGTAATGGTGCACTGCGGCCCGAAGTAAAGCCAGATCCTTTTAGCTCTCATTTACTGAGCACAAACCACCAGCCTTAACAGAATTATTAAGTTTTAATGGCTCCATAAACAAAAAGAAGAGCTATTTTAAACAACTGGCAGTCAGATCCTGTGTGTGCTTCTTTGGAAATAAATACTACTGACTTGAACATGAGGTTTTCCTAGCAAGTATTCTTAGAAATGCATCCTTAATTGTTCACAGTTACCAGCCACCATCTAATTGACTTGTTTGTTTTTTCATAAACACAGGGAGTGGAGTGAGTTCCCATTTATGATTCAGACCTCCTCTCTTCCTGAATTGCTCACAAATAATTAGGAAACATATCATGGATCCTACAAATCCATTTACATTCTGACACAATTTAATAAGATCAGTTTACAGGATGTCCCATGAAGACCAGTATTTCAATTATGCACTGGAAAAATCTGAAGCAGTCTACCCCAATCTGGTCTCCTCCAGATCTGTTGGACCGTAGCTCCCATCATTCCCAGTCAATATGGTAATGCTTTCCTTGGACATTTTAATCATCTGCTTTATTGCACCATTATATTTGGTTCAACAGACTGCTCTAAGAAAGCATGTTTACCCAGCTAAATAGAAAATATCAAACAACGTGCATTTCAAGAATTCTGAAGCCCTTCCAAATTCATAGGAACCCTTCATCTAATTCACAAACAAATAACCTAGGAGTATTAGAACTCTCCAAGTATTTGTTCCATGGAAATGTTGGACATTATATCCTCCATATTTATACAAGGTAGGCTCAATCCCACTACAAATGTGTCAAAAGCTTTAATACAGCATGACAAGCTCAGACAAAGGAGCTGAACGTACTTCAGCACAACAGAAGCAAGTGTCACTTTCTTGAGGAAAAGCTCTCTCTCAGATTCATTCATCAGAGCCATTCTCGGCCGCTCAGAATAAATGTTGCACTGCTTTCCCATGGCAGTAAAGTAAAAATTATCCAAGTCTCCCAAAGGAACATCGTTTGTGGAATCATTTGAACAACAGCATCCATGAAAGGAAAGATGAGTAGGCCTATTTATATCAACTCTAGTTCTTTGGGGAAGATGCAAGATCAAAACATTGTGTTACACACATCCCTAGCAACTACATTTTTCCCATTTTTCCTCTGCCCTAGGCACAAAGGAATTAATCCAGATTGGGGCCTTCACATTTGGGGTAGAAATCAGGGCCCCTCTGCTTACTCTAGAGTTTAAAAATCCATGTAGCTGCTTGATACAGGTTTAAAGTAATGTCCGCTTTGGTCCACAGTGCATTCAATTTACTCCACTCCCAACACACACAACACGTGATTCACCACTCATGACTGGTATCCCATAAGAGGCTCTGTTTTTTGGTGCTACCTGAGACTGCAGAAGTTAAGGAGAGGAGAGTTGTCATGCACCTGACCAGTCACAGTTGCTAGCTGGAGGCACTGCAGTCAAACAAGTTGTGCAGGGCCACCACCATGTGTGTTGCTAGAATGGCATTTTGTGCCGATCCATAATCCAGGTTTCTTCTCTGAAATATCTAAAAATATATGAAACAAGGTTGCATACTAATTTTGCATCTCCAGTAAAACCCACAGAAATTCAAAAGAATAACCATATTTATTCACCTTACAATTATCATCAAAATGCACTATTCTAGGTGCTCCATTGCATGGATCGACTTAGTAATAGCACAGGTAAAATTGTTCTCTTTTTAAAAAGTAAAAATATCCAGCTTTGCTTGAAATGACATGCAGTTTCATTCCTCACCTTCTTCAGTTCAATATTTTCCCTGTATTTAACCTCTTTTAGCATTACATTTCTATCACAGCTACTCATTTTACTACCATTTGCTCTTCTATGAACAAAGAAATCCTGTGATGCTTAATTAAAAAGATGCTGAAGGTCTGGGTGCACGGCAAGTATATTGTTGTATATGCACCTCCGCGGAAGAGTGCTCTTGCACCTTGTTAAAATTTTAAGACTTTATGGTTTTCTTTCCCCACGGTTGCCTTAGGCAGACTGGGAGCTGTACAGTAGCATTCACTTAACCCAGCTTAATATTCCACTGCTACCCTAACTAGAAAAAGAATACACAAATATGATACAAGATAGGTCACATGCACAATTCTCATAAAAAACATGACATATCTCATCATTGATTTTATGAGGCAGGAGAAAATATAAAAAGTTAGTTTTCTGCTTCATGGTAAAGAGAAGCACACCATTATGCTGGTTGGTAGTAGAAAACAACACTCCGTATATGAGAGAGCTAGGAAAAGTATACATAGAGAGTTGAGAGTGAGCAGTGTTGAAGATTAGAATAGTAAGCAGTGCCACCCAGTGACTGAGAGCCTCATTAATCTCCAGCCCAAGTCAATATTTCCATCATATTAAATAGAAAAGTTGCCTGTCTACTTACAGGTAAAGTATAGGCCTCTAAAAACTTATAATGAAAACTCAGCCAACAATAATAAATGTACAATTTCTAGATATGCAGAAAAATCTTAAAACAGGATATATAATTTAGTTACTTTAACTTGAGTGTAGAGTAACAATGAATGATCAGGTTGAGAAACTGGATGTGGGGAAGGAAGGAGAATAATAGTTATAGAACTGGAAATATACTGCCAAGTTTAGCAGTCTGTTATCCTACTACTCATGGGCCCCAAACACCTGGGAGAGTTCAGAAATCAGACTCTGTTCTCCAGATTTCACACAGACACAGAGGGGCAAGGGAGGACATTGTAAGCTTAGAGTCAAAGGGTAACTTTTAACTTGCTTCATACCTTACCCAAGGATGTATTTTGGCTGATTTTCACCAGGCACCTGTTAAGGCACACTTTTCCAACATTGTGCCTTCCAGATACAAATACATCTCTCAGCATCCTCCAGCCAACATATCTGGCTGGGAAGTACTATGAGTTTTAGTCCAAGATATCTGAAGGATACCAAGTTGTGGAAGACTTATACAGTACTGAGGGTGCATTTCTCAAAAGGCACACACTTTCAGTTGTGTATCAAACTGTCAACAATTGCTGTCCAGTGAAGCATCTCAGATTCACGAAATCAAAAATTAGGAATGTAGGAATTAACAAAATTCAAACTCACTGACATTTTCCAAATTCCATATTAAACTTTGTTGGTTTCATGGCAGTATCTAACTGTGAGCTTCGCTTTTTTCCTTTGTGCAAAAAAAAAAAAAAAATCATGCATGTTTTTCCCAAACGTACAGTTCAATTGTGCACATCTTTAAAATGTACTCATTCTTATTCCATTGGTTCTGGGTGCGTTTTTCAAGCCTGTGTTTCAAATGTACATAAGCTGAAAAATCCAGGTTTGGGGGTCACCAAAACACATCCAAGGCTCAGAATTATACAGACTTCAACCCTATTGGACTCAGCGTTCGATCCAGGAGGTGTGAACTGGATAAATACTGATTAAAAGCAAATTGAAGCTAATTTCAATCCCTAGCCTAACCACACCTTATTTAATCTTCCAATGTTCTATCGTCCAGCTTTGATGCTTCTAGGTGCAGACAAAAGGAAAAATTGCTCCCATTGACTAGTTCTCATGCAAGTACAAGCATCCAATATGTTCAGCCTACAGACAGGCAATGGTTATGGTGTACTAATGATCTTTGCCTGTTTGTGGGTTGAGAGTTTGCTGAAACAGTTTCCAGTGTAATTATGAGCAAACAGAGACATTTAAGTAGTTTTCCCAGAGGTCAGAATTCTAAACATATCTAAACAGAGGAAACTCCAACAACAAACATACAAAACATCTGTTGGTTGATACCAAATTATTGCATGTGTATACACACACAAGTTGCGAAGGAGTGTTTAACCTTTTAAACTTTTTAAATCTGTGAAATCATTTTTAACCATTTTCAAGTTTTAAATTTTAAATTTACAGAAGATATAAACTGAATGTACTTACTGGTGGCCATTTTGCTTGCTTATTTGTTTATTTATTTATGCTGTCCAAAGTGCTTCACACTCCCTGCATATCAGTTGATTGGAAGGGAATTCATTCCAATCATTCCTCCAGCATTCCCCATTCAATCATGTTTGAAAACATGCTACTGCCTGTTGCTTGCCTGAAAACTGAGAGAGGACTTACTGTTGCTATTCTGATTGTTTTGTTGCTGCTGCTGTTGTTGCTGTTGAAACAACTTTAAGCAAAAGCAAAAATGCCTCTCTCAGCTTTTCAGCACTCGGTAAGCAGACCACTCAACGCTTCCTTACAAAAGGGTAAGTGCTGAAACCCTGCACCATCAGAGAATTCTCTGAAATTCTCAACGTCCTTATAAACTTTCAGTAAAGGATGAGACAGGAAAGCTTTTAATAAAAGAAATTAATAATAGGGGTAGAAAAACAATTGCCCCTTTTGCAGGGAATCAAGGCTGTGCCAAGGCAGGTTGAATTTTGGTGCAGCACCAGATATCACGACTTCCGCAGCACAATAGATGAACTGGCAGCAAGGAACTGGCAGTTATTCTGGTCTTCAGCCTGCTATTTTTAAAATATATTAACTGTCAGAAACAAATCTATCATTATTTCTCTTGAAAAATAAAAAGTGCTTACCTCAAATATGATCAGCACATAAACACCTGCTAAAATGATGGATGCAATTGTGACTTGAGTCTCTACATTTGCATAAAGATATTGATATGTCACAGAAAGAGGAACAATTTCCGATTCCTGAAGGAAAGCTTCGATACTTATGGAAGTTTCTTCTCTGTAAAGAGAGATTTTGAAAATGCTGTTTAAGGACATAAGAAGGCCCATGCTGGGTCAGGGCAAGGATGCATCACAGGAAACCCCAAGCAGGAGAGTCACAGATATACATAGCCTCTGATGCGACATGTGCCATCCAACCATCAGGACTAGCCTTGCTAGCCTTGCCCTCCATGAACTTGGCCAATCCCCTTTAAAGGCACCCAGATTGGTGGCCATTGTCCCATCCTATGGAAGTGAATTTCATAGACTAAGGGTTCACTGTGTGAACTTCCTTCTCTCTGTCTTGAATCTCCCACTAGCAACATCTGGATAATGAGAGAGGAAGAGAATTTGGGGGGACTTTTTGCCTTAGTGTGAGCCCCTTGGCCTTTGCTTATTCTGAACCTCATTTGTATTTTAATGCCCATTCTTCCAGTTTGGATAGATCCTTTTGGACTCCCTCATATTTCCTTTCTGTTTTAACCACCCACAATAATTCAGCATCTTCTGACTCATCACTCCTAATGATGGACCTTGTACAAACTGAAAAGCATTGGTCCCAACATAGTTCCAATTTTTTATATCCTCTACATTCACTAGGGAACATCCCGTAAATTAATATTTTTTCCACTGTCTTCTTTCAATTCATGAACAAACCTGTTTGACATCTCAAATGTTCTAGACACAATAACTTGCTTATTTTGTCTCAGATTTAAAGGTAGGCTCCAGTTGTATAAGATCTGCAAAAACAACATGAAATCAATAATTTAAAGAGGTATTAATGCCTGCACTTAGTTTCCCATTCTGTTTCCTCTTTACCAGTAGCTAATTTGGTAGGATACCTAATAAGATTATATATAAGACATTTTCTGAAACCAGTGAAAATATATTATTACATTGCATTTCTACCCTCCCTTTTTTCCCTCTTGCAACAAACCCAAGGCATCTTAGGTAGTTCTCCATTCTATTTTTATCATCATAACTACAGTCCTGTAAGGTAGGTCAGGTTGAGTCTCTCAGCCTAAATTTATTTATTTATTTATAGCTCACATTTTTTTCCTTCGAAGGAACTCAAGGTGTCCTACATCATTTGCCTCTTCCTCTTAATTTTATCCTAACAACAACCCTGTGAGGTAGGGTTGGGCTGAGTGTCTGTGACTCGCTCAAGGTGACCCATTTGGTTCCATGGCTAGGTAGGGATTAGAACCCAGATCTCCTAAATCCCAGTCCCGCACTTTTAAGATCTCAGGTTAGTGAATAGTTATTCTTTGTTAGGCTAATAGCCCAGGTTAATCAACTGCCAAGAGAGCTTCAAATCACCCAGAGAGTTTCAACTATATGCCATATCAAGTGTATATAATGATAAAAGGAATTGACTAATCTGTCAGTTCAAGTTTCAGTATCAGTCCTTGTTTCCTTTTCAAGCTTAGATTTGGTTCATCTTGAACTTTGGAAATATCTTCAATCTTGATGCTAATTCATAAGCATCTTCTGCCCATTTCTCATAAAATATATTTTGCATTCATTTTTAGCTAATATTCACATTTTGCAAGCAATTTTCCTACTACAATCCACTTTTAAAGTAATTGTTCCTAGTAAGTGCATGTTCATATGTACTTTTGATTGAAGAACACCAAAGCAAAATTCAGAGAAGAACAAACTTTGAATGATAAGTGAGTTTCACATAGTGGATTGACATGCATGGAATTATGTAAGTTCACATTAAAATATGAACTGAATAAATTGCTTCTCGATCTTTAATTGACGTTTCACTTGGAGCTTGAGTTGATTGGGGAAGGTTTCCTGATGAATGGGAAATCTTTGTGTATTGGACTGTTGCAAACCACCCAGAGAGCATCCACTGTTGGGTGATTTAGAAATGCAATAGTATCCATCAGAGTTTTGAAAAGGTGACTTTTCTTTACCTAATGGAGGTGATAGTACATGTGTGTGTTTATTGAAAGCACACTTTCCTGTTTGCCTATAAAGTGCATGTACATCCATTTTTTGGGTTCCAAAGGAATAAAGGGGTGGAGCAAAAGCTGCCATCCTCTCATCCCCCTCACTATCTCCAGCTTTCTCAAGCATTTTTTGGCAGCTTGAATCTGATACCAGCTGGAGAAAAATTACTTGAAGCAGCTGAATGCAGTGACATGAAGTGAAGGGGGGAGGGGAGTGTCATTGTTCTCCCCTACTCATTCAAGTGTCATAACAAGCAGAGAATCCCTCTTCCTGCCACCAGCAGCTTTGTACACAGATGAGTGTGCAAAGCTTCATAAAAGCAAAGGCTAGTTTGGGCCAGCTGCACACACCTACACCTGGCTCCAACTGATGAATTTTACATTGCCATGTTGCCATCTGAGAGAATGCATGTTTTTGAGCCTTACCTGTTGCTGTCGTCTTTGTCTAGGCCCAGAGTCTTCTACTTGCCTGATCTGAATTACAACATAGTCTTCTGGTGACCGTTCTGCTACAAAAGGACCTCCCACTTCTAGCTTCAGAAGGGCAGAATCATGAAATTTGCTCAAGTTCACAGCTGAGAGCAGCATAGTTAAGGACTACATTTTTTTCCTGTTACATGGATGGCCTGCAGGAAGAACATATGAACAGCCATGCTAGATCCAGTGCAGCATTCTGTCCACACACTAGCCAGCCAGAAAGCCGACACAGATGACAGGAGCAGAAAAAGTCCTCCTGTCCAGTTCACTTTACTTAGCAACTAATATTAAGAATGAAATTGTCTATGATACTGGAGATAACACCTGAGCATGATGCTGAGTCAGTCATTTGAGTTCTTGTATCTCTGAGGTCATCATTGTAACGTCCCTGTCCCTCCACATCCAGCCCTTTCCTATGCTTTAGAGCATAGTTTTACCTGATGCTATGTGCTTCAACAACAGGCTGCTCTTATTTTGGATAATTTAAATTAATGGCATTCTTATAGAAAAGTCTTTTGTAGCCCTTCCTGTCCAGGAGAACCCAGTGGCTAGTGAGTAGACAGGGCCAACTCAAAGCCCAAATATGCTTCAATGCCAGAAAGAGGTTCCAATCTAAGGTTCTGTTAGGTCTTCATAAGGTGCAGTCAGACTTTCTCCAATCCTAGCCCTAGAAGCATTTCACAATGCTGTTTTGGCACTTCAAGGTCACTTAAAATGTCTTCCTCAGTGTGTCATCTCAACATTATCCCTGTAATATCTAGATGCACCACTCAGAGTTTCCATGCAACACCACATTCAGTTACCATCTCCCCAGATGGAGTCCTCAGATTTAGCTAAGCAAATCCAGGGGCAGAGATGGGCAGATGACTTTGTGGTTTCCAAGCTGCAAAGTGAAGATACTCAGACAGAGGGTGAGAACCAGTTTCCCCCGCCCCTTGGAAAAGGAGGAAGATATTTCAGAATATAGAGGGGTGTAGCTGGAGAGGGAGTTCCCTGACCATATAAGGAGATGTTACATGAATGAAGCAGACCAAGTCATGTCCAATGTTCTACCATCTAACCCTCAAGCAATGGAAGTCCTGATGATGGAGTCAATCTTTTCTGAAAGGGAGGGAAAGAGGTGATATTTCAGTTTAGATTCAACTCTTCACATGGGCACCTGCTTCTCCCACTTCTCTAAGAGAAAATTATTTTGACTTATTCAGTTTGTAACCTGTAGAGTTCAATAAAGATGTGCTTCTAACATTTCATCTAAGGCTGCTGGGGAGAGAAAAGTGAAGGCAGAGATGTGCTCCCAACAACCACATGTAAAATGCCATTTTATCAAGCAGCTTGATAATATGTAAAGCAGCTCTTGGTCAGGATTCTGTTCTTTAATTTCAAATGGCCTGGAGTCTTCTTGAGACTCTGGAATCTGGCCGTGCATATTTTTCAGAATAGGAACAGCCTCACTGCAACATGGACAGATCCTAATGTTCTATCTGACCTTTCCATGAATACTGAATATGCTTACATTTTTCTACTGGCAAATGGGATTGCCACACAAAAGAGATTTAAGAACACTGAGAAACAGCATTAATTATGTCCGTTAAAATAAAGTGCCTGCAGGAGAAGTTTAAATATTACAATCTTTAGGAGGGGCAGGAATGATTACTATGTATTGCAGAACCAGACGAGCTGGGCACTATGTGCTTCAACTCCTCTCTCGAGTTTTGAATTGTGCTTTGAAAGGTTTGCTTACCTATATTAATTAACCTAATGGCCAGGACACTTTGACAGCCTGTAGCCAATTTTATGAGTACAGCCAATAATTTGAATCTGCAAAAAGCTTCAGGTGCACATAATTGCAGCTGCTTCCGCTTTTCACAATATGACTAAAATATACCCTGTAATTACACAAATGGCACATTCAGAAGCCATTACAAAGGAAGCATAAAATTATAAGAAGAAAAGGGGACTTCATTTTCACAATATCATATACAGCTAGAACAAAGTGGCCAATATAGCCTTATTTAGCTTACCTGGTACGGGCATAGAATATAGCATTCTTTGCAGGACTAATTTGAAACACTTAACCAGGAGACTCAGTAGTTATGTGTCAATTCAGTAAAGAGCAGCAAAAGGACCTACAAACAAAGGAGTCTCAGCTGCTGTTTTGATGCTGATGTTCAACCATTGCCTTCAATGGAATGAAATAGACTTATTATGAAACACTCCAAGTGGTTATAATTTCAGGAGGATAGGTGACAACAAAAACAATTCCTGTCTTCAGAATGTTCCTTCCCCCACCATTTCTTTCTGGTATTTTTTCCTCTTTAACTTCTGGTCCTATATTTTTATCCTAGCTAATACACTGTCATCCCCCACCCCACATTCAACAAGATACAACACAATATAAATATTTACAAGTTTAAAATTGCTATATAAGACCAAAATAGTCTCTCCTATACTTCTGTTTGTCTTCGCCTACCATCAGTATAACATGCAAATACATCTATTTCTTCTTTGCCTATCTTCAAATGTCTGGCACTATTCAAAGAACCTTTTCTACATGTAGAAACAAGCTTAGAACTTGTGCAAAAGCTACTTTCCACAGGTAAGCAGGCTGTGGAAGAAATGTGAATCTGTGTATACATCCCCATGTAATTTTTTCCCCACATATAAATTATTTCTGGCCTGCATGTTATAAAGTGCATAATTGCTGGTTCAGGGCTTCCATCTCCACATGCTTTGTATGTGTGACTCTCCAGATTATGGCCTTTATATTTTCTACTGTTCAGTTTACTTATAATCCCAACATATTTAAACTTCTTTCAGACCTTCACTGATGGAAGTATCTTCCTCACATTACTGCATACTTGGGGTGCTTGCAAACAGCTCCTAGCTGTACAAAATCGTTCCTTTCCCATAGTAAGTTACAAATAAAATTTTAATTAACCATGAGGCCTGTGCTTCTTTTAATGCATGCATTTCACTCTGTCCCATCTACATGGTGGATATAGCAAATGGCAATGTGAAGCCCTCGTCTTTCCCCAGTATTCAACATTGCTGTACATTCCTTTTGTCTTACATTTTGAGGCAATAAGTATGTTTATGGTGGGTTGTAAGTCCATTGGTTTTATCTGGTTGTTATTGTTAGGTTTAAAATTTTATAATGTACTTTTTATTCTTTATTTCATATGTGTTTTTATCTGTATATAAGTAATTTTATGTGTTTTTATCTTTATTGTAAGCCACCTTGAGACTACAGTAGTAGGCAACATATAAATGAAAGTATAAATAAATTGTATCAGTAAACGTCCTTTCAGGGGAATTTCCGTTCCTGAAATGCTGCAAAGTAGCGAGGTACCATCTTGAAGCAAAGATCTGAAACCAGCCAATGCACTTGTCCCTGCAGGAGGTCCATTTTCGTAGAGGATGGATGGATGCATGGAAGCTATGCTGGATTCTGCCTGCTTGACCAAAGCTCAGACAGGAGGCGACTTGAGAGCCACTGTGGGATAGCAATTAGAGTGCTGGACTAAGACTCAGGAGATTCAGGTTTTCATATCCACAGCCTGAAACTCACTGGGTGACTCTAAGCCTAACATACCTCACAGAGGTATTGTGAGCATAAAATGGAAAAGATGTTATTCCTTATAAGACATTCCATATTAATACAGAATATACATGTATTAATATGAGAGTAATAGTGTTGATCTGTTGCTGCTGGTTGTGCACAGCGGTAAAATGCACAAATTTATCTTTTTATTTAATAAAAGTTAGCTGTGTTATTCCATGATAAAATCACCCCACTACTCCAAATTCCTTATTAATTTTTTAAAGATAGTACCTGAAAATTTTAGGACTTTCTTCTAAACATGCATGGAAATGTGCCCTAAATTATGTTTATATTTGTTATGCTATAGCATCAGGGATGTTGTATATTGATTTGCACCAATTTCAGGAGGAAACTGCAATTCCTACACTTTGGTGTGGGAGGTTACCCCAAACTACAGCACCCACCAGGGGTCAAAAGGGCCCCTCAACCTCTGGAAGTTGCCCACTCCACAACACACATTGATGCGAAATCTGAAACTGACACAACAAAAAGAGAAAGGACCCTGATAAAGCAGGCAGGCCTACGTGCATGCAGCTTGCAGGTGCCTACAGTCAGGTTTGTGGCACATGGCATTTAGCTGCATAAGGTCAGGGCAAGTATTTAAGTCAGTGCAGAAGGTGCCACTTTCAATCCATGCTATCTTCAGGAGCAGCTGGAAAAATTCCTGCCCGAAACCCTGGACAGCTGTTGCCAGTCAGCATCAAGAGGAACAAGTTAGATGAATCAGCTTGCGTTCCTAACTGAACACACCAGTCAAGAAAGGTTTGTGTACCTCCTTGCATCCATATCCATTGTACCTACAGTGAACATCTAAAAAGCCCCAGGATTTCCTAGTTGTGCTAAAATAGGACTATATGTTCTATTCCGACCTTCATCTATATGTCTGGAGATTAAGATAAAGGAACAGCTATGCATAATCCCACTTCTACATCTCAATGCACTTAGTAAAAAGAACTTTTGTCCCTGTGGGTTATATTAAATATTAGTCTGATTTAAGTCCTATCCATCTAATGGATCTACTCTAACACTGGCTACAATCCACTGATTATGAGCTTATGGTGTAGGAAAAATTACTAACCCTAAATTCATGGGGTAAATTGAATGACTTTTTTTCTGCAATAAACAGCCTATACCATATGCATGATGAATAACCAGTAAAATAATTATAACTGGGTTTAAAATATTTGGAAGGGCAAAATGCATTCTTGTCTGAGAGAATTTTTTTAAAGAAATGAGGTGGCATTTGGCTTGATTGACTGATATCTTGTTAACAAATAAGAATCTTTATTACCTTCTATTTTCAGTAACACTGTTTCTAATATGACAATTTGGTCTGTTCCAGCCCTCTGTACACCATTTGCCTTATCAAATATTATAATTTTGCACAGAGATGAAGTTATTAAAGACACAGCATGAAAGTAAATGAGTAATGAACAGCAAAGCAGAGCAAGTAATTTAGAATAGGTCAATAAAACTAAAAAATGCTTTTATATTGGCAAAGAGTGGATATATTTCATTGTTAACTCTAATTCATTCATCCAAAGCATCTGAGGAACTCAGAGGACTCTGCTAAAGCCTTTTTCGTATGTGAAGCAGAGCTATGCCACTATTTTTGCAAAATGCATCCACTGCTCTGCGTACATATGCTAATGAATACACTGCAGTATTCACCATATATATAATGCAATAAATGCAATTGTAGGTGGTGGTGGTGTTGGAAAGGTCACAGGATCTATCATTTTTGTTCATAGCACTAACATTTAGAGTAGCATGACCTAAGTTTCAGTATACCACTGTAATCAGTTTCCTTCCCTTTCTGGGTGCTTGTTTGTTTGTTTTTACTCCAGGCTGGGTGCACAACTTCAGTGCACGGTAATGGAAGCTTAAAAATCAGCTGTATCCCAGTTCACAGCTCTGATCCTCCATGTGTGCTCAGTCAAAAGCACAGGGAAAGAGAAATGTTGCAGAAGACAAGGAGAAGGGCTTGATGTGGAGAGGTCTCAGGGCCGCTGGCACTGGCGTTGCCATTCTACTGGCAGGGTGGATGGCCACTGTTCTTCCGCTATCTGCTCCTCACTGGGCTGTCCTGGAACTTCTTCAGCCACCTCCTCCTCGTATCATCTAGCGAGGGATCCCCAATGCTCTCTTCCTTCCTCTGGCACCCTCACATGGCACCCTCAAGCAAGAAGGTCCTCCCTGCTCTTTCCTGAGGGATGCCCAACATTAACACCCCCTCACTGCAATTGTTAGGGTGTGGTTATTTCTTTGTGTCTGCTTCCTTATCAAGGGCTTTCAAATCTTGGAGAAGAAAGAGTCTGGAATGAGGGGAAGAGGAGTCACATGCAAGGGGGGAAGGTGGGCAAAACCTTTAAAGCCACGCCTTCCAGTAAGTGCTGGAATATTGCTAGGCTGGAACACTGAAGTCTCTGTAGTGCATAGAAGTCACAAACACTGGAAACCCATCAGACATGGAGCTTGAGACAGAAATACTGATAGGACAATGAGCTCGGTGGTTTCCATGTACATCTCTGAAGAATCATACAGTATCAGGAAGATAGGCTGATGCAGATTGACCCCTGATTTTGAGTGTATAGCCCTGAGATCACCAGGGATTGCTGTTTGGAGAACCCCTAAATGAAGGGTCAAGAGATCCTGCATAATTCAATGAGAGGACCATGGGAGCAACTTGGACTGGTTCTCTTCTTCATTTATCAATATTTTACGTTCTTTATATAGACTTGGACCAAATTATTGGAAAGGCTTTACGAACAGCATGCCCAGCACACAGATCATGTCCAGTGAAAGGCTGTTTTTGTGCACTGGCACCAAACACCTCCCACAGTAAAGTCTTTGAGCTCTTAAGCCAATAAGTCTCAAGAACAACAACCTCACCATTTTGGAAAATTACACTCAGGCTATTTAATTTGACTCATTGCCAACAGGGAAATGCATTTGAGATCAAAATAGATTTAAGGCACATCTTAAACATGGAAAATTCCCATCCACTCCAAGGTAGTGTAGGCAGGCTGGAGTTGCAGGGAGTGTGTGTGTGTGTGTGTATGCACATGCGTGCCAGCAGGGGGTGGGGTGTTTACTAGCTTTGCATCTGACAGCAGCCATCAAGCTCAGCCATGAGGCCCAAGTGTGCATTCAAGTGATGGCAAAGCAAGACAACACAATTGGAGGAAAAGAGACAAGTGGAAGCAAGGTAAAGCATGGTACAAATCATGGGCCCAAGAGCTCCTGACTGTTCCAGAAGATCATTCCTCTTTAAAAGCAAAAAAGGTGATTAACTGGGTGGAAGGTTGCTGGGTTCAGAGGAAGGCCTTCCATCCCCTGCTGTTCTATTAGAAATGAAGCTGTTACAGACATGCATGATCCTGCCTTGTCAAAAGGCATGTGAGAAAGTTCCACTTACCTGTGCCAGCTATACGTTCAGAAGGAATGGCAGCTTGCCACTGCTAATCAGACAGCGAAGGGACTCAAAGGAGGAAGAGGGGTACACTTGAGAACACAGTGCTAACAACACACCCCAGTAACAAAACACACAACACACAAGCAAAAAGGTGATGCAGCAAAAAGCCACAGTAGTAATTAGAAGGGGCCTCTGCAAAGACTCAGCATGTCCTGGCCAGAAACATTTTATATCATAGCACTCCATATGTGCATAAGATCTCTTCATTTCTCCCTTTCATTTCCATCAAGCACTGCTTAGTGATGACAGCCCTGCTGTGTGCAGTCCCCATACATTGAGGGGATGCAGCTATACAGATTTTGTTCTTGGTTTGAGTGTCGCCTGTGCTGGGCCAGGATAGCTAGAGGAAGCACGGATCACAGGATCCCTGGCGGGACAACAGGATACATTGAACCGGAGGGTGGCATGCTAGTCCACATGACCTTCGGCAACTGTGCTGCTCTCAGTGTCTGGAAGGTGGCTGCCGCAAGAAACAACAATACCCCAAGCTCAGGCAGGCTGGAGTTTCTGCATCCTGCCATCCATGTGCTGCTCTATAAAGCATAACCCATGCTCCCATTTCAAACTGGATGCTTTCCCCATTTGCCAAACTTAGGTGCAGTCACTGATGCATCCAGTTCTGGAAACTGCATTTCACTTGCTTTGCACTCAACTTATTTTCTTGCAGATATGCAGGAAGCATCGAAAGGAAGTATAAAAGAAAACTATACTGTTGCAGCCTTCATTATCACTTGGGTAGGAAACCTGGGGAACAGATTTGCAAATTAATTCAGTCATTTAAAAGCAGTCCCATGAGGCAGGGTCTGCATCTCCAAAGAAATACATCACTGTCAGTATTTAATTTAGCAACCCACGAGTCAGCAATTTCAGATTAACCATTTTTGAATCAGCCAACTGTCAGGGACTCGGTGCTACGCTGCTGCGCTTTGAAAACCAAGGGAAAAACGGGAATGATAAAGGATACTGTAGCTCTCCACAGGGGACACAGCTAGCATTTGCCAAGGTGTTCTATTTTCAGGATGGATGCTAAGTAAGATCTAAGGACACATGAAATGGATTTACGATAAATTACCAAACATTCACAACCTGATGATAACGTGTTAAGTGAAAAGAAGCTTGATAGTTTCCTATAACAATGCAGAAATGCTGTGGCTTAGCCTACCATCTGAAACTTTTCACATGATACTAAATCTGTAGTCCTATAGTTCCTGGGAGGGCACAGGGAGGGTCAAAAAGACAGCTGAAAAACACAATGGGGAGCCACAAGTTTTAATCCCCAATATATTTGCATGCCAATGTGTTTTGAGAGATGTCTCTTTGTCAAGGACAATAAAATTCTTCAAATCTTAGAACTATCTGCTGCAAACTTTTTTAAATATTTCTGCTCCAAAGGCATTTAAGCCTGGCCATTAAAGAAAGGAAGAGCTACCGTTTGGATCACTCTGACAAGCAGAAGGGAGAGGAGCAAGGGAGGGAAATCCGGGACTGAACTGCACTTTGCCATTGCTTGGTGGCTCTGTCATCTTTGCTGTCCCTGCCTGCTCGGGCAGCTGCTTTTACGGAGGTTTACGCCAGCCAGGTAGTAACAGGAGAAGCAGTAGGGGGCGGCCCCTAGGCATCATTACTTTGCCCCTTTAAAACGACGGTTTTGAAAAGGAAGAATTATATATTAAGTGTGCTACTGAGCCTATCATAGCAGAGGCTGCAATCACCTCGCTGTACTAGCACAGGCAATAGCTTCTCCTCCATCACCCAGCGCCTCTCAAGCCGAGCGGGGAGACGCATTCGGGGAGGGAGCAAGCGCTTGGCAAAGGCTCTGGAGGACGCCTTGTATCGCACCAGTCCTCAGATAACAAACAGGGTCCCTTCGCACAGCAACACTGCGTTGCTGGTTCCACTCATTCTGTTATGGACCACTCAGAGAGCTGTGGTATAGAGTTATTATCCTCTCATCATTATCATTATGAATAATAATTCTCTCAGCGTTAACTTTGAAGAACTGTTACAAAACCAGTCTTTGCAAATTCAGTACTTACAGAGCATAGCACTACAAAGATAAACAGGCCAGAAACCTTGAGGATGCGTAAGCAGCATCTGCTTAAAGGAAGACGAAAGGAAGAAAACAAAATACCTTTAAAATCAATAGTAATGATAACAACAACAACAACGACAATAATAATAATGGGGAGAGAATACAGAGAGGAACATTTATTCCACCCAATTCTGTTACAAACTTCTATTTAGTATTCATGTCATACAGGCAGGGAACAAAGATAGAAAAGAAGTACCATTGTTCCCATTGATCGAAGATTTACCACTGATTGCCCAAGAGTTTTGTGACTGAGTTTTTACACTGTTTTCTGTGGCAAGAATATAAGGAGATGCTGTGCAGCAGCCTTCCCCATGCCGTTGCCCTCCAGATCTGTCAGTCTGCAACTCTATCAGGAATGATGGGCAACACATCCAGAGGGCATCAGATTGGGAAAGCTGCCATATACCGACTGCAATCAATCTAGCCTGTTCCTCTGATTGGCAGCTGTTCTCCAAAGACCCTGCTCTACACAGACCTAAAGTCCTCCCTGCCCTGCTTCTGGTATCTCTGAAAGAGAAACCAAATTTGATGCTAAACCAACGGGTTCCACTGAACCCTTCCATTCTGTCACATCTAATACCATACCTTAATATTGCTTCATGTTTCCTTGTCCCCACACTGAACAGCCAATGATGTAGAGCAGTGGCAGTAGAACATGGGAAGCCATGGCATCACATGGGAAGTGGGATAGAGCTAAATGCTACATCTGATTTGGCCAGGGCCACCTGGCTTAAAAAGACTCAGCAATGAAAAAATCAGCAAGCAAGCGGCAAGATCTCAGGCGTGCCGACAGTGATGAGCTCTTGCCAAGGAATATGTATTAAAATATAATATTTTGCTTTTTTAATTACAGAGCTGCTTTGTATCAGAACAGAGAGTCATTTGGCTAATGGGCGGGGTAGAAATTTAGTTAAAGAAATAAATAAGCCAACAAGCAAGCAAGCAAGCAAACTTGCCCCCCTACCTATAAGAATGTGCCACTATTAGCAATGCATGGTTGCTACAGATTTAAAGCATTTATTTTACACATTTAATTATGTATGCTACAATGGCATCCAATATATTAAAGTCAAGCTTAATTAAATTCTTCCAAAATAAAATTAAAATTATGGTTCCTAAAACAGCCAACCCAAAAGGACAATCAAAACAGAAGCCATTAAATTAATCCTTTAGCAGTCCGGAAGTGTTTGTCCTTAAATAATTAACTTATCTTGGAAAATTGACATGAAGCAATGGAGGGCTTACACTGGGAGAAGGAAGTGCAATCTTATTAATAAACTGTAGCATTTAGAGCATTCTTCCCGTCAAACAACACCCTTTGCATGCTTAGATTTATGCAATCTGTGCCTTTAGCAGCTTAGCAACTAGCCATGATCTGACCTTGACTTGCACTGCAATGCTATGGGAATTTTTTCTAAAAGCCAATCATGCATCTGCACTTTATTTTAAAAGCTGCTTCACACCCCCAGGGCTGCAGCAAAAAGTGCCAGTGACTCATACCTCCACTTCTGTACTTCCAGGTAATATGCATGGATATCTCCCCCGCAAGCTACTCTAGCAGACTGGAATTCTTTCGACTATACTCAGGAGGTATATTTATTCAAGCCTCATAGGTAGCTTTATTCAAAAGTTTACATTAGAGAAAGATAATGCACCATTTCCATATTTCTTGCATCAGTTTATATTCTGATCTAAACCGCAAGTCTAGAAATAATAACCCGCAGATGACAAATAAAATGATACCTTCAAGCAAGGAGTCTTTTTCTACCTTCCCCAAAGCAACATCTTCATAAGCCAGTTAAAAGACATGGGGTGGGGTGGAGAAACTGAGGCTCACCTGCGGTCCCAATTTTCCCCTTTCCACCCCACACTCCAGCCAACAATCACTTAACTGCTTCTCAGGAAACCTGCTTTTGGCTTCTCCACTCAAAGAGATTGAAGTCTTAGTGACCAGAAGCACTTTAAGTTCCAGTAGACTGTCAGTTCACTGGAATGCTTCTCTGCAACTGAATTCAGCCTCTTGCCCAGTGCTTTTTTTGTTTAAAAAAAAAAAAAAAGTGCCGGAACTCATGTCTTGGGGTCACACTTTTACACAATGGTCGCCGCCAGCAGTAAGCACTCAGTGCTCGACCACACGGCCGATCCCAAGCCGAGCAGCGCCCTCACAATCAGCGCCGACCATCAGCACCAACACACAAGCAGCCCGCAGGCGCTATGTTAATGATTTTTGCTGCCCACCTGCTACACAATCACTTGGAAAAATCCGTCAAGAAAAGGTGCCAGAACGCCATTCCGGTGTGTTCTATGACCAAAAAAAGCCCTGGGTTTGCCACTCCTAAAGTAGTGAGAAAGTAATCAGCTTTTTCACTAGCTCAAGAAGACTGCAGCTTCTGAAGCCCTTCTCACTGAGATGTTCCTCTTTGCATGATTATTAATCATCTGTATAGATTGCCCTTGCCTAGACACCCTCAAATTATCCTCCTATTGTCCATATTGGAGGGAAATCTGCAAAGAGGAAGTTTGATAAATCAAGCCAGCTCTCCCAGTGATCTGGAATTAAAAGAGTGCAGACTTGAAGATCACATAAAGCAGTCATATCTGCTGCAGATCTTATCTACTGCATAGATAGATAAGGCAGATGGGAACATGGTCATAGGATCAACCAGAACAACCCAGTCTTCTTTTGCATGGTTAATCACTTGAAGGAAAATCTCTGAAAGAACCTACATTGACACCCTTCCCATATCTTTATTCAGTGGATGACCTACTCATAACAGCACCTTTTGGTTTCTTCTCAACAATTGCTTCAGCTCTCTTTAATCACCATCCTCCTGAGCTGAATTATACTTTTATGTCATAAACAATAAGATCTCGTGTGCTTGAGAGAGAATCTGGCTTCCTCCTTGTCTAGAAGATTCTATGAGTCTGTGTCAGCCTTCCCCAATGTAATTCCTTCTAAATGTTTTGAGCCACAACTCCCAGAATCTCTAGCCATTGGTCATGCTGGTTGCGGATGATGACAATTTAAGCCACAACAACTGGAGGGCACCAGGTTGGTGAAAGCTGCTCTAAGTCTCTTCTGACAGACATAACTAGAAATATCCAGCTTGTAGAAAACAAGCCATTAAAGACAAACACTTGTTGTTGTTGTCAGTCACGAAGTTGTGTCCGACCCATCGCAACCCCATGGACAACATTCCTCCAGGCCTTCCTGCCCTCCACCATCCCCCTCCACCTGCCCTCACACCAACTGCCTCAGTGACTCCATCTAGCCACCTCATCCTCTGCCGTCCCCTTCTTCTTTTGCCATCTATTGTTCCCAGCATTAGGCTCTTCTCCAGGGAGTCCTTCCTTCCCGTTAGGTGGCCAAAGTATTTGAGTTTCATCTTCAGGATCTGCCCTTCTAAAGAGCAGTCAGGGTTGATCTCCTCTAGGACTGACGGGTTTGATCACCTTGCTGTCCAAGGGACTCACAGGAGTCTCCTCCAGCACCACAATTCAAAGGCCTCAATCCTTTTGTACTCAGCCTTCCTTATGGTCCAGCTTTCACAGCCATACATTGCAACTGGAAGAACCATAGCCTTGACTATACGCACTTTTGTTGGCAGGGTGATGTCTCTGCTTTTTAGTATGCTGTCTCGATTTGCCATAGCTTTCCTCCCCAGGAGCAAGTGTCTTTTAATTTCTTGGCTGCAGACTCCATCTGCGGTGATCTTGGAGCCCAGGAAAATAAAATCTGTCACTACCTCCATTTCTTCCCCATCTTTTTGCCAGGAAGTGAGAGGACCGGATGCCATGATCTTAGTTTTCTTAATGTTGAGTTTCAAGCCAACTTTTGCACTCTCCTCCTTCACCCGCATCAAGAGGCTCTTTAGTTCCTCTTCACTTTCTGCCATGAGAGTGGTATCATCTGCATATCTGAGGTTGTTGATATGAGGTTTCACCCAGCAATCTTAATTCTAACTGGTGATTAATCTAGCTCCGCCTTTCTCATGCTGTGCTGTTCATATAAGTTAAATAGACAGGGCGACAGTATACAGCCTTGCCGAACTCCTGAACCAATCAGTGGTTCCATGTCCAGTTCTCACTGTTGCATCTTGACCCGCATATATGTTTCTCAAGAGACAAAGAAGATGGTCTGGTACTCCCATCTCTTTAAGAACTTGCCACAATTTGTTGTGATCCACACAATCAAAGGCTTTAGCATAGTCAATGAAGCAGAAGTAGATGTTTTTCTGGAACTCCCTAGCTTTCTCCATGATCCAGCGTATGTTGGCAATTTGATCTCTAGTTCCTCATCGAAATCCTGCCTGTACTTCTGGTAGTTCTCGGTCCACATACTGCTGGAGCCTAGCTTGTAGGATTTTGAACATCACTTTGCTAGCATGTGAAATGAGTGCAATGGTGCGGTAGTTTGAACATTCTTTGGCATTGCCCTTCTTTGGGATCGGAATGTAAACTGACCTTTTCCAATCCTGTGGCCACTGTTGAGTTTTCCAAATTTGCTGGCATATTGAGTGTAGCACTTTTACTGCATCATCTTTTAAGATTTTGAATAGCTCAGCTGGAATACTGTCACCTGCACTAGCTTTGTTGTTGCTCAGAATTCCTAAGGCCCATTTGACTTCACATTCCAGGATGTCTAGCTTGAGGTCAGTGACCACCCCATTGTGGTTATCAGGGATGTTAAGCTCTTTCTTGTATAGTTCCTCTGTGTAATCTTGCCACCTCTTCTTAATCTCTTCTGCCTCTGTTAGGTCCCTGCCATTTTGGTCCTTTATCATGCCCATCTTTGCATGAAACATTCCCTTCATATCTCCAATTTTCTTGAAGAGATCTCTGGTCCTCCCTATTCTATTGTTTTCTTCCATTTCTTTGCACTGTTCATTTAAGAAAGCATTCTTATCTCTTCTAGCTATTCTCTGGAATTCTGCATTCAGTTGTTTGTATATTTCTCTTTCTCCCTTGCCTTTCACTTCCCTTCTTTCCTCAGCTATTTGTA